TTTAGTATTATAGTAGCTTATTATTAGATTTTAAGCGCCTTTATATAGATAGTCTTCTTAGCCTTTATAGCTCTTACTATTATAGTAGCCTTACACTCTTACTATTATTACGCCTTTATCTTCTTAGCTATAGCTTTTTTATAGGCTATTACTACTACCTTAATCTCTTTATTATAAGTTTTCTAAAGTAGTAGCTACTTAGCTTTATCTTATTTTATAGTCTTACGCTTCTAGGTAGCTATAAAACTCTAAGAACTCTAGAATTAAGCGCTATCTTACTTCTAAGTATTCTAATTAAGCTCTATAGTCTTACTTTACTTTATATACTTATTTCTAGCTAAAAGTATAGTTATAAAAGCTTTATTTTTAGTATAAAGTAGCTTATTTTAAATTTAAAGTCTATAAAGTGTAACTATAAGATATTTAGCTTTAGAACTTAATATTTCTAATACTATAGAAGCCTAAATCTTTTAGAGCTCTTTCTAGCTATTACTATTACTATTATCTCTAATTTATAAGCTTCTATCTTACTCTAAAGTAGTAGTAGTAAAGCGCTTTAGAATAATCTATATATTTATTAGCTAAACGCCTATAGCTTTAAAGCTCTTCTAGATAAGATCTAGTCTTATTATTATACTTTAGAACTTTTAAAAGATTAAAAAAAAGTTACATTTTAAGACTTTAGTAAGCTCTAGTAATTACTAAAGATAGTAATTAAGTTCTAAAGAGTAGTACTTTATAAGAGGTATAAAAATAATAATATTAAGTAGCTAAAGACTATAGGTTACGTGCAGAGAAAATATAAATAGAAGAATTTAATAGCTATTATAAAACTTAATAAATTTACGCGTTACGTAGCTACTATAACTATTAATAATAAGAAGATAGTAATTATAATCTATAAAGTTCTTTAAATAGCGCTAAAAGATGTTCTAAAGCTAGAATAATTCTATATTATTATTAGTCTACCTGCTAGCTAAATTTAAGAAGAAAACCTAGTGTTTCTAGGCCTCTATAGCTTTAACTTAGCCTAATTAAATCTAGAAATACCTTAATAAATTAGAGCTAGTAGTAGTACTTTTTTAGAAGTGTATACGTAAGCTAGTAGTATAATCTATTCTTTATTACTATTCTAGATAGCTGCACGCGCTTCTTTTAATGCCTAAAGTATCTTAGTAAATACTCTTTTAGCTAGTTTTAAAACACTAATAAAGAAGCTCTTTTTATTTATATTATATATATTTTCTAGTTAAATTCTATAGTACTATATTCTAGAGTAAAGTATTTTAAAGTAGAGCTTATACTTAAATAGACTATTAGCTAAATATTACTATTAGTTAATTCTAGAGCTCTATTTAAGTGTAATTATATTCTTATAATAATAAAGAAAGCGCGAAATCTAGCTCTAGAAAATATTATATTTTGTAATTAAACTAGCGAAATTTTATACTATCTCTTATATTAGTAGTAACTCTCTTCTTATATATCTTTTAATATATATTATAAGCTTCTCTTCTTATTATAAGCTAAGAGACTAGTAATTATACGTAGTAGCTATATTTAAGCGTATTTTTATCTAATACTACTATAATAGCGTTATTTAGTTATAACTCTATTTTTTTATAACTTTATAATAGCTAAAAGACGCGCTGTCTTTATATAATTTAATATTTTTAATTACTTTCTAAATTAGGTTTATAGTAGTAGAGTTATAACGTGTTAAAGGTTTAGACAATTATATTGTTTTAATATTTAGGTGGCTTATTAGCTAAACTAGCTTACCTAGCGCCCGATTACTGTACAGCAACTGTGTTCTATGAAGCGAAGTGTTGGCGACGACATCGTAAGTGCCAGCCTCATAGAACAGTGATGGGAGGCGATGTAGTTGGAGGAAGGTGCTATGATGTCATCGACATCAACACACGTGAACGCCGTTTCTCCCTCGCGATGGCTGGCTTTACCTTTTCGCGCACGTACAATAGTCCAAGCAATGTACGATCTCGCGTTCGGAAGACGTGATGTATGCATCTCCACGATTAGGTAGGACCGCCACTATGCGCCCATAGCCGATCGCCTCTTCCCCACGAAAGCGGACGTCTCACCCCGCAACTCTGCCATATATCAATAAAATCCGAAGTGATTCCAGATGGAATCAGCCGCCCTGCTTCCCGGCTGCGCTAGGGGGCGGCATCTCAAATTTTTTCAAGGTGCGAGGCCACGCGCGGGCCTTAGAGCCCGCGCTAGCCGCCCTTACAAAGCTATTTAAGTTGCACCTTACGCTGCGCGCAATTATTTTGCTCCTGTCTAAAGTCTTTTTACTCCTGTCTAGAGTGTAGACGCGTCGCACTTTATAGTGCACGCGCGCGTAATTATCTAAAGTTTTAGTATTCCTTACGCGCGGTAACCTAACGTAAGCATTGCGTTAACTTACTGCTGTAGCTCTAAAACGCTAACCTCTATAATTACAGTAAGCAGCCCTGCAGCTAATAAGCGAGCCGCTTCTAGTCTGCTAATTAACAGGACTGCTCCTGTCTCATCTCGTTCGACCTAAATAGCCCTGCAAGCAGGGCAATCACACAACACGATGACCATCACCAACGTCGCCCTCATCGGCGGCACCGGCACACTCGGCGCACCCGTCCTCAACGCGCTCAAAACCTCCGAGTTCGACATCTTCGTCCTCAACCGCCAAACATCCAAATCCGTCTACCCCAAAACGAAAGTCATCACAGTCCCCGACGACCTGAACGTCGATGGGGTCGCCAAGGTACTGCGAGAGAATAAGATCGACGCCCTCGTCATCACCATCGCAGGAAGCCATGTCGAGTCGCAGAAGAAGCTCATCGATGCGGCGTTCAAAGGCGGCGTGAAGCGCGTGATGCCCGCTGAGTTCGGCAGCTGCGACTCTGCGGATGACAAGACGAACGAGATTCTACCGCTGATGAAGGGTAAGAAAGATGTCCGAGATTACCTCTTGACAATGGAGGGCAAGGAGCGAGAAGGCGGCATGGGAAAGCTTACCTGGACAAGTCTCGTCACCGGCCACTTCTTCGATTGGGGCATGACCTGCGGTCTGCTGAAGTTCGACGCCAAGGCTCGCAAAGCATACATTCTCGATGGCGGCAATATCAAGTTCTCCGCCTCGAACCTGGACTTCATCGGCAAAGCAGTCACTAAGATTCTAGAGAAGCCAGATGAAACCGCCAACAAGCTTCTTTATGTACACAGCCACCATGTCACGCAACTCGAGGTTCTTGATGCGTTGGAGAAGGCTACAGGTGACAAGTTTGAGCGCATCGATCAGAATAGCAAGGAAGAGCTGGATGTTTCTCGGCCGAAGATGCTGAGTGGAGATGGTGAGGCGAGGGAAGAAGTCGTCGCAGTGTGGGGGGTAGTCGCTGCGGACTGGAAAGAGAAGGAAGGCTTTGCGAATGATCTGCTAGGGCTGCAAGAGGAAGATCTCGATGAAGTCGTACGAAGGGTTGTGGCGGAGTTGTGAACGCGGGCCCGTTGTAGAATAGAGCCGCATACCTCAACGCGGGCAGGCCAACGATTGTTACGGACGTAATGGTAGTCTACCAATCACGCTAGTCACGAAACTGCTATCCAGTACTAGTGATACCCGTCTAGTAACAATATGCGGGGGAATAAACTCCCACAAAATCACGTTCCCACGCAACGATGAATCACCATGATTGTTACACCCAAAGTTAATCGCTTAAAGAGTTCAGATCTAAGAGCGAAGCCCAGAAGACCGCGATGGTTCATGATTAGTCGTTCTTGCGCGGTGTACCAAGATCTACGTCTTCTTGTTAGTCCCAATGCGGTGCATGATTAGCGCAGCCCTTAGCAACCACTCGGTCGTGATTACTATTCCAAATCACGTGTACCCTACCTAGGTAAACCTACATCGTCGGCATGAATGTATTTGGATATTATATAAGCTTCGTAGTAAACCCTATATCCAGAAAGTCAACACTATTGCCGATCATCCCATTCCCCCTCGCTCATAACCTTACAACATCCTCAACAATGCCTCTCTGGATAATCTACCACCCACCCAACACCTTCACCTCGCTCCCCGACAAAACCGCCCTCGCAAACGAAATCACAAAACTCTACACCATCGTCGGCCTCCCTAGATTCTACGTAAACGTCCTCTTCCAGCCCATCCAACCAGAATCCTTCTTCATCGGCGGTGTACCCCGTCCCTCTCCCATGACTGACGCCAACAAGCCCGGCCGCGATAGCTCAGTCCCCATGATACGGATTAAGATGGAGCATCTTGCGAGGCAATTGTACTTACCATCCCTACCTAGTGTATATGACTCGTGGATGCCCGGGCTGACTGGAAATAGTACTTCACTCGAGCACAAACACCGCTTTATGGATGCTGTGGATAAGGCGCTGAAGCCGTTTATTGCGGATAAAGGGTATGATTGGGAGTATAGTTGTGAGGATGTGGATAGGGATTTGTGGAAGGTGAATGGTATGTTGCCGCCGATGCCGGGGACGGAGGCGGAGAAGGAGTGGGCGGGGAAGAATTTGGCGGTGCCGTTTGAGGCTGAGAAGGGGGGGTTGGCGGGGAAGTTGTAGCACCTCATACAGTAAAGACCCTGAACAGGTCTGGAGCCTACATCATCGCCAGGCCATCTATCTCTCATACTTACATGTTAATGTAAGCTGCAAGCCTGTTCAGTTTTATTCTTCGTTGACGAGGTAGTAGACTTTGGATGAGTGAAGGGTGGATGTGCGTTGGTTGCATAGATGGATGGGGGAGGAGAGGTGTGTTTTCTGAAGTATCATTCACAAGTCTTCCGGGGGTATCATTCGTCCTTTAGCGACGCCAAACGCCTTCTCTGCCAGCCCAACCATGTATCGCACTGTCCAAAAGCCCCTTCATTCGCCCATCCATAAGATCGTACGTCGCTCGTCTCCGCACCAGCTCAGCCTGCTCAGACGCCTGACTTCGAGAGCGACCACCTCACCACTAGCCAATATCAATCCAACTTGTCGAAAAGCTTGTAGCGCAAGCCTTCTCGCACACGCTCCCGCTTCTCATCCTCCACGGTCTTGACCCTGTCTGTACTGCCCTTTTCACCGCTGTCTTTGACCTCGCCCTCACCCCCAGAGCCCGCCCTCCAGACCGCCAAATCGTCATCCGCGGCCTTGTACACAGACGATACATCCGATTGATCGTGGTGCTTGGGATCGGGCTTGTCGGGTACTGCGTGTCCAAATAACTCGAATACGTCGCGCCGAAAGGCGGGATCTTGGTGAAGGACGTAACCGCCGAACCAGTCGGATTTGAGCGGCGGTGTTGCGGTAGCCTGCTTCTGACCCTGAAAGGCGACGTTGGCCGCCGAGCGTTTTCTGGATGCGACGGATGTGGGTGTGGGCGGTATATAGTTGCTGGGACTGGGTGAGGGCATGGGCGTCCAGCTGGGGGTGAAGGCGTTCTGCATGTTGGTTGAGGGCCGTACTGGTTGCGCTGGGCATCGGGTGTCAGGAGGTGAAGGTGGAGAGGACATGTCGTTGGTCGTGTCGGTGGCCTTGATGACAGAAGAAGCTGGTTGCGATGGGCGTCGGGTGTCAGGAGGTGGAGTGGAAACCTCGTTGGCTGCGTTGGTGGCCTTGGTGACAGAAGAAGCTGGGAGTGTTTAGTTTTGACGTGAAGGTGCTAGATAGGGAAAGACGTCTCACCTTCACTACCCACCTTGATGCCTAACAGAAACAGCACTCCCTGATGCGCGAATTGCGAAGCGGTGCTTCGTACCAGCGGCTCGATCTGATCCACCCAAGCGGAAACATTCTCGCCGTTTGCTTGCGCAGCTGCAGCTCCCTCTATAAGTTCCTTGTAGCATCCCCAGTCGGGGCCGAGCTCTGCTCGTAGAGCAAAAAGCAGGAGGTCCAGGTTACCTAGCTTAGCCGGCGCGATGGTCTTTCGCTGTTGGCGACGTGTCATTGTGGCCATTCTAGAGTAGAGTAGCTAGAGGAGTGAAGCGGCGGACGGAGGACCTGGGAGTGAGAGAGTCCGGGAATATATGCGGCGCTAAATGTGCCCAGCACCAACCATGCTTTCTGCTTCCTATTGTGATATCATCCAGCCATATCACAATAGTGAAATAAACAACCGCGATACCGAATTCAAGGACTTGAGGTGTTCCTGGATATGGCGACCGCCGTACAATAGCGACGCCCCAAGGATCTCTGAGTGACGCAAGGCTGCCGTATCGCCCAGGATGGGAACCTACAGGAAGCAACCCATACACTCCCATACGCATTGCCTGCATCCCAACTCTTCGCAAATGGACGATGACCCGAATGAGTCGAACGTGTATACTCAGCACCATCAACCAGCCCGTGCGCGATGTTCCCGCAATAGTTCATATCCATATAGGTATCTCTCGCATCGGTATGCGAGGTGCGCGCGATCAAACAGAAACCAGAATGAGGTTCCTGTACATGACGCAGCCCGCCTCCGTAACCCGACTCATCCTCGTTGCTTTACTCATCGCCCATGCGTGCGCTCGCTCGTCGTCGCACATCGACAGTCCGGAAAACCGGCACGTGCCAGTACCATGGCTGCAATGTAAACACATCACACGGCTTCCAGATTGGGATACATACTCTTTACAAAGTCGAATTCGGCGGCCAGATCGTTGGGCGTAGCTACACCAATGGGCTGAATTGAGACATCGATCGCACCTGCCTGCGCATCATTTTGAACCATGAGCTGCTCTTCAAATGACTAATTTACTTCCATAGTCTGCGACATGTGCGTCGGGTGCGAGAACAGCTTTCCAACTCCTTGATGCGACCTCTCAACCGCGCCGGTGGTCTTCACGAGGATGGTCAGGCTGGTGGGGGAGGGATAGAGCGTGGACAACGAGCTGAAGGCATCGGACGGATGGGACCTAGTGAGCGTCTACGCATCGAGGAAGGGTGATACGCAAGGGTGTACAGCGCTCTTATAGTTGATGTCGGAGGATGGAGGTTTGCCTGCGGGTGGTTGAAGTTCCGTCGGCGTCGGCGGTCGGAGAAGTCTCGGCCGACGCGGTGGTCATGGCGTCTTGGTGGCACGACGCTGGCACGCCGGCAACAATCTCTCTGCCTTTCACTTCCCCCAAAGCGCTACCTATTGATGCTGCGACTATCGAGGCAGAGTTCATTTGCGCGTATTGACAACTATTGCTTTCTTCATAGCTGCCGGACTCACGGTACCAGCCAGGCGCCACGGTGTTCGTCATTGGCGCAAAAGCCGACAACGCTCACAGCAGATGCCCTTTTCCATGTGCAGAAGCTTTCATTTAAGCCGGATAGGCGACGGCAAGACTTCAGGTTCTTTCCAGCCATATTCCACCATGGCGTACTCAGTCTGTACTGGAGAGCCACTCCTCATCATGAAGATGCGAATGATGCCCCGCAAAACGAAATTTGTTACTTCCAGTGCCAACAAAGAACATATACGCCTCGTGATCATCACGCTTTGGAAGTCAACATTGAATCAGGTGATGTTCACTTCCCGTGGAACATTTGGTACAGTATGCGTCATCATGTCCTTCCGAACCATGTGACGACCAAACATGTTTACGATCCAGAGTTCACCGTTACGTGGTTGATGCCACGCGCTACGCGAGTGAATATCGTCACACAAAGCTCCGTTCGCTGAACAGCTGACAACTTCTTTAACTTCCTTGACTAACCCACAATCCTTTATCCTCTATTGCGAACATCGCACGACGATAACCATGCCGCTGTTCGGATACGGTAACGCCCCAAAACCGAGCGCTCGGGAGACCCAACAACCACAAGACATGAACGCCCAACGCTTGAGACGCGAGAATCGTCGGAGAATAAGTGAGCGTCGGCAATCCGATGAGCAAAGCACTTCGGCACCCACGAAGGCAGAGTCTTCAACAGCCAAGCGAAGCGATACTCCAACCCTCAGACAAGAAGACCCTCCGGCATCGCACAACCTGACGCGAGAAGACATCCAAAAGTGGAGGTGAGTGCTAACATTTCATTTCTTAACGCTTCTTGATCTGACTCAACGCAGGAATGCTACGTACGAGATCAAGGCCACCTTCCCCTACGTCGACTTATGGCCGTGCATGTACTGCCTCAACAACATCGACTTCCGCTACCGAGAACGTTGTTCGCGCTTCCACTGCGACAACCCTGAATGCGTCGGCAGAGGAAAGCTGCAGGTCACCTGTTTCTGGGACATCAAAGCGGGGATTAAGAGGAACGAGGATTAGCCGCGGCATGTTCTGGCTCGTTGTGGGGAGATTGGCCGTCTGGGGTGATGCGTTCCGGTGGGCTCGGGTGCGCCCATGGAAGCGCGTCGATAACTTCTAGCCCATCGATCCAGGCGCCGTGTGGCCAAAGCGAATCCTTCCAAGGCTCTGATGTATCGAGCAATATCACGCTCATCTCGCTGTCTTCCTCGTCTGCCTCGGGTCGTTCGCTGTTTATACCGGTCGGAGACGCCGGCGATGTCGCAGGGCCCTGGCCCAGGGTTGGCTGAACAAGCTCCGCATTCGCCATACTCGGAGGAGAAGCTGCTTCAGGGGACTCTTCGCGCACTGTAGCCTCCGCGGCGGCCCCCAAGACAACTTTCGAGGTCGCGTTTTCGTCCGACTTAGCCACACCCTGCTCCCATGTCCGCGATTGCGCCACCGGTTCGTCCTCATCGTCTTCAGCCGCCGTCCCATCGCCCGTGATTGGTATCTTGACCAACACATCATTCCGTTGCTTATCGATCTCCGCATTCATAAGACTCGCTAGTCGGTTATGGTCCTTCGAAATTTCCGGAAAGTCCTCGTTCACGAACGCTTGCATCGCCTTGGCGGAGTCTCGAGCTCGATCTCGACATGCCATGATGTCGCCAAAATACTCGCGGTAGACTGGACGCACGGCGGAAGGTAGCTTCCTCGTAGTACTGACAAAGATGGCTTGGACATGGTAGGGTATTAAGAAGGTGAAGCCTCTGGACGCGGATGAACTGTAGTAGGTGTACTCTGTCATGGTTGAGCTTTGAGCGTTCGGCTTGATCAAATGTCGAGCTCAGCAGCAAGTGTTATTGGGACGCAATACGCTAGAACTATAGAAGCTCGAGCATACAAGGACTGGTCAGTGTAACTTTAGGCAATATTCATCACGAGGGCAACATTGCAGTGAATACATCTGGAAGTATTTCATTACCACACCCAAGCGCCTACAAGCCCTCTAAACTTTCTAGAGTAACCATCAACGCACCGGCTGACGGATACAAGACACGCAACGACCCGCTTCTGACGTCTCGTAACCCCCTTTGACGCCTTCACAGCACCGAACCAGACCTGCAGTCCTACTTCTTCCGGGGATCAGCAACCTTGGCCTTGATGTATTGAGCCCCAATCATCGTGTCGTTCAGCATGTCCAATGCGCGGCCGACTTCCCCTGTCGGAATACCCACAAAAGCATAGCCCTGCATGATGACGACCTTGTATACGACGAAGCCCTCGAACAGGGTGCGGATTTTGTGGTCTGTGACGTCGTATGGTAGGTTGCTCAGTTTCAAGTCCGTGATATCCGTGGGCGGTAGAGGAGCTGGCGCAGGAATGGGAGGGGCGCTGGCAGAGCCAAACTCAGCCTTCTTCTTCCGCTTGTCCTTATCCGACAAGTCCACTTTGATAGTGCGACCTTGCCACTTGACGCCGTTCTTGAACCGCGTGAGGATCGAGTCGGCGTGCGCTTGCTGAACGATCACGAAGCAGAATGTCTTGCCTGGTAGTATATTGACGTCGCTGATGGGGAAGTCCTTAAAGATCTCTCGCACCTCTGTCGACGAAGTACCGACCTTCAGACCACGGACGAAGAGAGATACGTCAGTGGCGCTGGGCTCATTGACAAGCAGTTTCTCCATTTCCTCATCAGGAACGCACCGAGCGTTGAGAGTCGCGTTCTTCCAGTAGGTACCCGCGTACTGGCGTACTATCTCGACCGCCATCCAAGGCTGTGCGAGCTGCAAAAGGCCGACTCCTGGGTCGGTTGTTTTAACGTGAAGGATGTTGATGGGCTCGTAGTAGCCATAGTCAGTCGGGCTTAGATGTTGCTTCTGCTTGGTCGCCTCAAGGTACTGATCTCGCACCGACTCTAGCAACTTGTTCATGTCACTCAGAGTGTGTTTTGCGGGAAGACCGGTAATCTCAACGGTGCTCGAGTGTATTTGGTGATCCCGGGCGCGGACGAAGTCGGAATAGCGATTGGTGGCGAATTCGGGAATGGCTTCGTTCCAGAATGAGGTCGCGATCTTCTTGCCGGTTGCCCCGAAGTGGTAGCCTTTGTGGTTCTTCTCAAAGGTTGCGGCGACGTCGGGGGCCTTGAAGATTATCCAGGCGGACTCACCTCCTCCCGCTCGTGTGTAGACATTTTCGATTTCGTCTTCTTGCAAACGTAGCTCGGTGAATACGTAGGATGACTCGCAGTTGGAAGGAAGATCACTGACTAGTACTGTAGACGACATGGCTGATTGTGTGTTTCGAAGAGGTAGTCGTGGGAGATTGTGGCTGTCGATCACCTATATGTAGACGAGTGTTGTTGGGCAGAAGTCTGTGATCCAAGCAAAGAAGCGAAAAGAGCAGATATATAGGGCGCTTTTGTACAATGAAAGCTAGTAGAAGCCTGGAGTCGGAGTGTAGCCTTAAGTATTCATTCGGTCGAGTCGCGCAATGTTTGTCAAACCATCCACGCAGTCACATGGAAATCGCGCAAACAAGGAATGTGTATGCTCTGGAAATATCTTTCATTTTAATAGATTTTAACGAGTGTGATAGACATGAGCCACAATTTCCAAAGCAGGGTCAACGGTAGAGTAGGCAGTCCTGAGCATCAGCCCTCACAAGTTCCACGCGCACTTACCCTGCCCGGTTGAACCAGAACAGCCCCCTGGTCCACCAACACATCCGGTGTCGAAAAGACAGCGGGCACAATGATACTTTTCGTTGCATATCTTTTTGGATGCGCAGCTCCTTCCAGAATCGCACTGTGGCTGCCTCGGGTGCAAAGATAAAACCCCTGGCACATTTGCCTCGGATGTTTCGACGTCTGGGTCGCGTGCGACGATACCGTCCGGGACAGCCCATAGCTGAGCTTCAGACGTGACAGTGCGCCCGTCACTGAGCTTCAGATTAGTTGTGTTCACTATAGTCTTCGGGAGAGAATTGCGAAGGGGAAAACTTACACGCCTGGGGTGGCGGATCTCTTGGAGCCTATCTTCAAAAGGAGCTCAGCGATTTGAGGCTCACTGAGCTGTAAATAGTCCACCACGGTGTCATGTGCTGCATTGAAGCTGCGAAGCACTCCATCGGCTCCAATGTCCATCAACTCGCCCTCGTTGAAGTTCTTGAGTGCTTCTTCAAGCGGCTAGACGCATAGTGTCAGTATGTCACTGTTTGAGTGTGGCCTTTGGGGTGCCTACCGCATCGTTCGTGGTCGCTGCCGCTGCTAGCAGAAAGGTCGCACTCGCGGAAACTAAGATTGAGAACCTCATATTGAATTTACTGAATGATGAACAGGTCTTGTAAGCAGTAATGTGTTGAGCCGTAGTGTACTGAGAGAATGTTCATGTTGCCGGCGAGAGGTATATGCTTTATAGACCACTGTTGGACCTCTTCTCAATTCCTCCAAGGCCTCGATGTACATGTCTAGGTACCTTCACATGACTGCGAGGCTGGTATATTACGATGCTGCGTCATGCAGGATGCTGTTGGTCAGCACTGCCTAAGCGTGCCGTCTATAAGTACGCCCCGCATCTCAACCTTCGCGCACTGCGTTGTCTTCTCGCGGCTACGACGTTTCCTGCGCCAACACTGTATTGAACTCTCTACCCGAGGCTGCAGTTAATAAAAACTTGAAGTCAGTGCTACTCGCCTGAATCCTATTCTTCACTGAGAACGAATCAACGATGTCCTCGTCGCCTTCGCCAAAGCCGCAAGGCCAGGAAGGATTCCATCCCAACAACGAGGAAGTTTCAACCGCAGACCCGAGTCATCACGAAGGCGAGAAGGACGAGAATAGCCAGCCGACGAAAAATAGGGTCAAGACGGACCCGCTGGAGATCTTCGTCGACTCTATGCGAGAATGCGAGAACGCGCATCACTTCCACATGATCTGCAGAGACGGAGTGATGAGAGTCATCGAATACCTGCCCGGGCCGCCCGATCAAGTCACTCAAACCAACATCTTCGACGCAAAGCCCATGTCACCAGAGCTCATCAAATCATGGTTGGACAGAGGTCCTTGGAATCAGGAGAAGGAGGATAGGTTTCGTGGAGTTGATGGCAGAACGGTCCCACAGGAGTAAGTCACACCTTTCATCGCACGCTCTTTGAGCAGCGGAAACATCGACTGACTTAGTGCTGCTGTTGTAGGCAGTGGATGGATCCCCCTGCAGGGCTGATTCCACCCTTTGGCACCAAGAACGAGCGCGACGAGGAAATGAGAAAGCACCGCGAGGAAAGGGCGGAGTTGGAACGCAAGATTGCGAGTGGCGAGATCGAGCAGGAACCAGCGATAGCCTGTATGGCCATCCAAAGCAACTACGACCTGACTCCTCGTTAGGATGTAGCCAGGACTGTCTGCAGGGTGTACATTCTGTTGGTGCGCGGGTCTCGTTTATTGGCTTCGGATCTGGGGGCAATTTAAGCCACGAGTTTAAGATGTTGGTATTTGTTAGTCGACTTGAACAGCTGAGTATACAGAAAAATGAATGCCGTTGCCGAATGAGTGGATGCTGATCGCGTTGAAACCAAGTTCAAGTGACACGAAATTATATTATGTGACCATACAGGAGACCAGAAAGTATCACGGGGCGATGCAGCTCCATCCTTCTGGGAGGCTTGTGACTGAAGGACGGCTGGGGAGACGTGCGCATTGGATAATACCTTGATAGCGGCCGTGCATGGGTGGCGATGCGCACCGCAACATGGGTGTGTGTTGGTTACCAAAGGAGGCCATTTGCCACTGGAAAACTAGGGGTACTCAGCTGTCCTTGAAAGCAGAATCAAGCTGGACAAGGTGTAAGAAGGCTGGACCCGCGAACGGGCAATGCCGCTCCGAATGCGGTAGCCCATTCGTGACGTTGCAGCAAACTTCGCGCCACACGGGAACCCGGGATCACTCGCGAAGGATTCAAGTACAACTAACCCCTCAGATTTACGCCCTGCAGATAACATCAAGACCCCGGCCTACAAACGCCGATGGTCGTCCCTGTCACTCCCGCGGAAGCCCCACCATATCGAAACTCTCTTTCCACAACCTCTCCTCACCCTCCTCATCATACGCCCACGGCGCATACCCCTCATTAGCACTTTCATACATCCCCTCCTTCCTCGCCTCCTCCTCTCTTGTCCCCATCTCCGCCAGACTAGCCAAATACTTCCCACCCTTATCCTTCCACTCCCTACCCACCGCAGCATAAACCTGCGTCGCAGCCCCCTGCTCCGCACTCTTGAACGTCCGCAGTATCTCCGGGTCACCAAACATCGCCTGTTTGGTCTCTTCAGACACATGCACGCCAAGGCCAGATCCCTCGATGATGCCGCCTGGATGCACAGACGTAGCGTGTAGATGGCAGGACGAGTAGTGGCGCTCGATGGAGTTTGCGAACCAGATGTTTGCTGTCTTGGCTTGACCGTAGGCGTTCCAGGGTTCGTATGGCGTCTTTTCGTAGTTGTAGTCGGAGAGGTGCACGGTGGACCAGATGTGCGCCATGCTGGAGAGGCTAACGTAGCGGCTGGAGTACTCGGGGGTTGCGGATGAGAGGAGGGCGTCTTTTAGGAAGTGGAATAGGAGGAAGTGACCGAGGTGGTTGGTTCCGAATTGGGTTTCGTAGCCGTCTTTAGTTTTGCCGTAGGGTGTGGCCATTACGCCTGCGTTGCCGATGACTACGTTGAGCTTTCCGCCGGTCTTGGTGAGAATCTCTTTGGCGGCCTTGCGGATGCTGTCGAAGCTGTCTAGTTCCATCTCGACCAGGTCAATCTTCCCTCCTCCATCGTGTTTCTCTGCGAGATTTTGTCGACTACGACTTGGCCTTTTGGCACGTTGCGCACGGTTCCGATAACTTGGGCGCCGGTTGTGTGCAGCGAACGAAGGGTTTCAATACCCAGACCGGAAGACACTCCTGTGATGAGGAATACTTTGTCAGTCAATTTGCCGGTCAGACCCTCGTCGCGAATGACTTGGAGGGCTGTAGGACGAGCGTCGCCTGCGCCCCGAAGATTCGCGATCTTGTGAAGCTCGGCGTATTGGGCCATTGTTGGAATGATGGCTATTTGGGTAATGTGACCGGCCTTGATAAGGTTCTTCTCGGCTGAGTCGAAGGTAACGGACGTTGATGAAGTACGTCTTGTATGTTGAGCTGTAGACTTGAGCGTTGTCGAAAGAACTCCTTTGCTGTATAAATACTACGGTCTGTGGAAGGCATCTGGTAACATCTGTTACTGTCTGGTTTTCGCCGTCTATCTCCACGTTCATCTCTTAACTCCATCGCAAAATGGCCCGAATACGTCTTGCCTCATGGACGGATTTTGGTCCGTCTCCGATCACAGAGAATGGTCGTGAACTGTTTGACCCAGTAGATGTAAGATTTGCCCCATTGCCCAGGCTGAAGAACTCATTTGCAGATGGTTGAACTGGCCATCCCGCTCAAAGTGACACGGTGTATACGGTGTTGTCGAGGGTTGGATGATACGTTGCGGTGGCTTGTAAGCGATGACGTCAAAGCGAGCGAATCGCGAGCTTTCTCCGAAGCCACACGTGCTGACCGGCGTTGTCTGGGCACTCATCTTATGCATTGTATTTCGCCGCAACGTACCGAAGATAGGAATTGATGCGATGGAACTTGTTTGTAATCAGGATCAGTATCCTTCTTTGTTCTTTAATCGAAGTCACTACGCCTCGTGCCCACTATGTAGGCATGTCTAACAGGGTGGCTTCTGGCGCAATACTTGCCTATTCTCATTGTCTCGCCATTACCCCACAGCTATCGCAACTGACTCATCTCTACACGCTTCCAAAACTCTCCCTCTTGACAGCAAGGAAGGTCAAGCTCCAAAGCTGGCGAATGTTGCTCTCAGTCGCGGTCAATGAGCCCAGCTGCTCGATCTGATAGCCGTTGTCGTATTTCCAACTCCACACCTCATGGCTTAGCTGGTCGCGGTTGGCGTCGATTGTATCCCAAAGACTGTTGTATGCGGCGAGAACCTTGTCATGGACTGTGGAGTCTGCGCAAAAGTCTACGATGCTGAGTTAGCAATCACAAAATGGAGAAACGTGAGATGATATCAGGATGTCGACTTACCAGGTGCACCCTCCTTATCGCATCGACCAAGTTGTCGCGCAAGCCCAGCACCCATCATGGCAAGCTGCCAGCTCCATACCACAGTGCCGTGGTAGTCGTCCGTTGAGAAACCTGCTTCGAATGTCGCATTTCCAGCGTACGCAGGGTTCGCAACGAATAGTCCAATGTCGCTCGATAGGCTAACCGGGAAAGGTTGAAGGATGTGATCGGCGGTCTGGCTGATGTATGCCGTCAGCTGGGTTTGGTTCGTGGTGTCGAGGAGGAAGTGGCGGAAGCAGTCATCGCTATTGATGACGGGCACAATGGGTGCACCGACTTCGCCGTCAAGGGCGACGCCGTAGTATGTGATATCGCTTGTGATCTTGTCGACATTTGTTGGGAGGGTAAGGTTGGCGTTCGAGACGTAGTCCTCAACAAGAGATTTGGCGTCGGCCTGCGGGACGGTGACTTCGAAGAAGCGTAGCGTCTCATCCTCCCAAATCTGGGCGTACTTGTCAGCCTCTTCGCACCAGTCCGGGTGGTCGGAGAAGAAGCCCGCGCGGCTCAAACTTGCGATAGCCCGAAGTCCTGCTGGTACAAGCGCGGTGTTGACGTTGTACGGGATGCGACCTCCTCCGAGGCCATTACTAGAGTCGCGCCACTCGCCGACTATCTCGCCTTCGTTGAGGTGGATGAGGTTTTCCTTGACTTGACTCTGCGCAAATGGTGCAGCAATCCGCATGATCTTTTCGGCGGTGAACTGGGCCAGCTCAGAATACGCCAGTCCGTCGTTCTCGACTAGGAATGTTGCGGTCTTGCTGAAGAAAGCATCCGAACGATTCTTTCCAGCATCTGTATCTACGAAGTAGCTGTTCATGGAAATTGGAAGCATGAAGTCCGTGTCGATCATCTTGTAGTCACAGCCAGGTGCGCTGGAGTTGATTCCCTTCTTCCTGTTGAGCCACGTCGCGTAGTCGCCGAGGACCTCCTCATGACATACGGTACCATCAGTGCGATTGACTCGCTCGAGGACAGCTCCGATGACGGCTTCGATGGCCGCTTCGCTGAGAACGGGCTGCATCAACAGCAGTGAAAGCATACTGTCTCGACCAAAGTAGGTGAGGAAGCGCCATGTGCCAGCCAGTAGCTTGTTGGAGTATGAGAGGAATGACAAAGAGGTGGTTTGGTCTGGGTTCTCTGCAATCAAGCCGGAAGACGCGTCGTTGAGAACTTCTTGAGGGCTGAGCTGCTCCAATTGCGGATAGTTGTAAGAGGCTTCGAAGCGGTAGCTACCTTCGCCGAATGTCAAAGTCCAATTCGCCTCGCGGTTCAGCGTAATGGCTTGAGCGCCGTTCAGCGGCGAGAACTTCAGCGTGGTAGTGGTTACACCGTCAAACCAGGTACGATTGATAGAGGCGCCGCAACGCGCGCCTCGGCATAATTACACCACCTTTTCCACCCACTATATCTCAACGCGACGATGTCTGTAAAGCAAGCTGTTGCAAAGGAACGTGCTACTCGTCACTGCGATGGTTTTTAGTATACTAAGCTAGCCAAAACACATGGTGTAACACGCTCAACTTCGACGCGACAACCGAGCGGGGAATGCGCGTCGAAAGAAGACCCGGCACTTACGTAGCGATTGATGCACCCGTGGTTACCGACTTCCTCAACCGCAGCAAAGATACCCTCATCGCGGCGTGGACCACCCCAATAGAGAAGAATCGTTACAGGGTCGATCATTGTGAGAAGTACCACTTATACTTCGAGCTTCTGCACCGTAAGCTGGCACAGCATAATCTGAAACCTGCTCACATGCACAATATAGATGAGAAAGGCTTCGCTATTAGTGTCACTAGCAGGAGCAAGAGAATCTTCGACAAGGTACTCTATAGCGAGAAGCACTTCAAGCAGTCTTTGCACGACGGCAGCGGGGAGCAGGTGACGCTCAAAAAGCGTCGCAAACTACTTAAAAAGGTAAGCGCAAGGCATCACAGAAAGCGGCACCAAGAAAGAAGTAGAATTGTGGTTCTGCGGCTGTGCGGAGTAGTGGTGCTGCTGCTTATAAGCAGCCCTCAGCACGCACTTGCGCTAACGCTTAATAGTTGCGGCCGCAAAACACTCTAGCTACGCAAGTTTTAGTAGTAGGTTTTGTTACATAGGTCTATAGATAACTTTGTTAAGAGAAACTAATTGTAATAGCTATTATATATAGCTGTAGAGCCTTATTTTTCTATAGGTAATATAAGTGTTAATAGTGCGCGTTGCGGCGTATGCGTATTATAAGTATAGACATAGTACTAGTAGCGCAGAGCTCTGCTAGGTAACTACCTACTATTATAGACTAAGCTAGAATACTATAAATAATATAATATATACACTCTCTTTTAAATTTTCTATATCTATAATACTACACCTAACTACGCAACGCTAGCTAACTACAGCCTATCTACTATCTTAGTGCAGGTAATACTCTAATTACGTAATACTTAGGTAATAATATAATAACCTCTATATAAATTATAATATAACTCTACTAATATAAATCTAATTTAAGAAGTAATTAAAGAAATTAATTTACGTAAAGAAGGTATAACTTTCTTATATACGTAAGTTATAAAAAAGTATAGTATTAACTAATAAACACTTACTTAAAGATACTAAAGGTAAACCTAGCTATATAAGCTTATATACCTTTCTATTTACTTATAGTATAAGATAGAGCTTATATAGTATATTAAGAGGCTTACTAAGTAATATTTACTACCTATAAAAATAATAATATATAACTTTACTTTAGATTTAGCTAAAAAAGACGTCTCTAATAGCTAGGTTATACGCTTTCTAAATAGAAACGCCTTCTATTTTATATTACGCTAGTAGATAAAGATAGACTTTAAGCGCTATAAAGCTAATTTAGCTACTAAGTATAGCTTATACTTTAAAAATTTATATAATAAGATAAAGAAGTATAATATAGAGTCTATTTATATATATAATATAAATAAAAAAAGGTTTTAAATTAAATTACTTAGACGTTTAAAATATATATTTAATAAAGTATTATATAACTAAAAAAAGGTTAGAGTAGCTCTTTAAGATAGTAATATATAATAGATAACTATTCTAGCTTATATTTATATAGATAGTTATTATAAGACACTATAAGTAGTAAATTTAAAGCTTACTTTAGAAGCTTAATTATTATACTATATATAGTACTTAGGTATAATACAAAACGTTACGTAAAAAAATAGTAGTAGAATATTTAGGTAGTAAGAAAATATAGGTAGAGTCTATACGCGTAGCGCTTAGGCTCTAGCTAGCTAATTAATAAAATCTAGGTACTTAATAAGTATCTAGTGTTTATACGCACGTTTAGGTGTTAGAGAAACTATAGTAGTTACTATAATAGTATCTCTCTCTTACTCTTAAGCTTCTATAAGTATTTATACGTAATTTTAGCTAGCTCTAAAATACTAGAAAATCTTTTATAAAAGATTGTTATAGCTATATTATTCTTTAGATCTAGAGTAGACTTCTAGATTATTTTATTATAACCTATCTATTTTATATAATATTTATATTATTTACTACATTTATTATAATAAAAGCTTTTAATACTCTTAATAAAGTATTTTTCTTTACTATTAATAATAATAGGTTCTAGCAGCAGTAGATACTAGCTAGATATATAGTTTTACTTTCTAGTAGCTAAGTAGAGAAGAGATATATAAAATATAGAGTATATCTTTATAGATTTAGGTAAGTTAAGATAGTATACGTATAAGAAAACCTTCTTAGCTACTTAGTAAGGTTTTAGATTCTTCTAGTTAAGCTTTTTTAATACTTATTATATTTAGATATTACGCGTATCTAACTATACCTTATTACTAGTTTTATATACTAGTGTAGATAAGCGTTTATAGTTTACGTACTCTTACTATAGAGCTTAAGCCTAAGTTATCTCTTTATAGATAAACTTAGTAATATTATATATTTTATTAACTATTATAGTTACTTCTTAAGCCTAAAGAGCTTAGTAAGTAGAACGCGTTTTACTACTAGATAGTTTAAAACCTATATAGAGGTTTTAGCTATAGTAGACTATTATTAGAAATACTTTAGTAGATTTAGAAATAGTATTATTAGCTTTAAATTAAGTAATAGAAAGCTATTAAATCTAGTTATTCTATTAATAGTTTATATACGCGCGTAGAACTTATTCTATTATAGTATTTATATTCTTAGTCTATCTATTAGTCTTAGAATAATAGCCTATTAAAAAGTATAAGTTAATCTTTAATTAGTTATATAGTTTATTATAGAAGGCTAAAATAAACTATTAGCTATAGTTAGAGATAATTATATTAGAGAGGCTATAGTTACACTAGATATAGTAAAGAAATATACGTACTACGTTAGAGGCTTCTATTCTACTATATAAAATTAGATAATAATACTTAGATAGGTAGTCTACTACTACTATAACGTTCTTATATTCTTTAGATTTAGATAGATTAACTATAAAGTTAATAAAGATATCTGCCTATTATTACTTAGATATAGGTAGTAGTTTTAATAGGCTATAGTACTTCTTATAAGAAGCCTTTAAATAATAGTAAGTATAGTAATAGAAAATATATTATTAAATAGTTTTAAATAGTTAGAGCTAGTAGTACTTTTACTAAATAAGTTTAAGTGTTTTTTCTTAGCCTAAGTAGCTACTAGAGAAAGAGTTATAGACTGCGCGTAGAATTTTAATCTTTAGTTTATTATTATTAGGTATTATAAGTTTATTATAGTAGTAGAGACAGCCTTTATAATTTTTATAGTTACTTAGTATAATAGTCTTTAACTATTATCTACTATTATATAGTAGTTATAAGGTCTCTTATATAAATAGGTTCTTAGAATACTTATTAGGTAAAGGCTAGTATTCTTCTTTAATAATCTACTAGATAGATTTATTAGTTTCTACTAGTCTAATTATAAAAGAATTCTAGAATAGCTTTAGATAAAGTAGAGTCTATTTATAAGCTTTTTATACTTCTTCTTATACTAATTAGTTTTAAGAGTAATAGGTTAGAGCGTTAGGTTTCTTACTATACTTACTAGGTTAGTATGTAATTATAAACTTAAATTAAGAAAAGTATTTAAACTATTAAGTCTAATAATAGCTTAGTTATTTTATAGTTATAAAGTACTATAAATTCTTATAATTACTTAGTATAGTAACTAGAAAGAAGGCGCCTTCTAGCTTAAGTCTCTATTATTTAAAATAATAGATAATAGTAAGTAGTTCTTTATTATATATTTTATAGTTATTTTCTATAGAGTTTATTTTCTTTAAGTAGTAGACTACTAGGTAAAGAGTACTATTAGGCTCTATCTAGAAGAGAACGCCTACTATAACGTAGTTAGAAGCGTCTACCTCTATAATAATTAGAAGATTAGAATTAAAGTATTATAGTATTAGTGTAGTAGTAAAAACGTGTTTTAAGATATTAAAAGTCTTCTAGTAGTTATTATTAAAGAAAAACTTTATATTCTTTTTTATTAGTACTATAAGTAGAGTAGCTAAGTAGAAGAAGCTATCTATAAACTATTAATAGAAGTTCGCAAATTCTAGAAAGACTCTAATATTCTTAATATTATTTAGGTATTTCTAGTCTATAATAGCTTAAACCTTCTTTAGGTCTATTTATATTCTATTTACTCTAACTACGTAGCTAAGGTACGTAACTTCTATTTAATAGAATTTGCACTTATCTATATCTAGTTAGAGTCTAGCTTCTCTAAGAGCGTTTAGAATAGATTAAATATACTTCTTGTATTTATAAAGAGTCTTACTATAGATTAGAATATTATTAAGATAAGTAGTATAGAATATATCTAAGAATAGGCGTAATACATTATTAATAAAGTACTAGAATATACTTAGCGCGTTAGCTAGTCTAAAAAGTATTATAAGATATTTAAATAGCCTATATTAGGTATAGAAGGCTATTAGCTATTTATCTTCTTTAGTAATTCTTAATTAGTTAAAGGTAGTAATAATATTAAGCTTTATATAGTACTTAGCCTTACTTAGTTAGCTTAAAGTCTTTTAGATTAATAGAGTTAGGTAGTAGTTTTTAATAGTAATAGTATTTAGAGTATAGTAATTAACGTAGAAGTATAGTCTACTACTAGATTTCTTAATAAAGATAATAAAGAAAGTAATAGAAGAGAAGCTTACGTAAATAAATTTCTTTAATAGATAGTTCTTAAGGTACTTGCGTAGTACCTTAAGTTTATTCTAGAATATACTATATAGTAGACTAAACCTATACTATTTACTAGATATTAGTTTAATCTTATAGTTATATAATTATTATATAGGTAGCTTATTAGAATTCTTTTATAAGAAGACGTCTATTAGATTATAATACTTAGAAGAAACCTTTATAAGTAGATTAGTGTACTTCTTCTTAGCTAGTGTTTTATTAATATTAGTAATACTAATAGTATAGATTTTATAGTCTTTCTTACGTACTAGACTTATAAATAGAGTAGCACCTATATAGTAGATATTAAGTTCTAGTTATAACTTTAATAAGTTATTTTACTTATCTATTAGTAGAATATAGTTAGAGTTAGAGTTAGAGTTAGATATAGGTTTAGGTATAGGTTTATTTATCTAGCGCTTTAT